TTTAATTGTCTTTGAACCTACGACCATTCCTGTATCACAGGTTTTGTCCTGGTTGTTCCTCCTCCCAAGCGTTGGCTGACTGGCACGTTGTGATGATCTATTTTGCAGCAGTAGTTGATTAAGTAGAAAGTAGGAATCAAATCTTTCAGACCATCTTAAAGAGTTAGGACATTATTCTAAGGGTAGTGGGAAACCAGTGAGGAGTTTTGGGTAGAGAATGAAGCAATTTGATTCCTTATTCATTTATTTTTTAAAGCAACACATTGCTGTTCATTAGCAAAAAAGATCAGGGCAAAGGATGGGCATACACCAAGACAAGAGGGAATGGTATTTACAACCCAGGCAGAAAATGTCGGTGACTTAATCCAGGTGGAGGTAGAGAAGCCTAGCATATTTAGATATAAAAATGACAGGAATTTCTAGTGGATCGGTTTTATTCATTCATTCAGCATTTTATTGAACATCAGTGAACAAAACAGAAAACTTTCTGCCCTTGTGGAGTTTAGATTCTGATAGATGAATGAAGATGTCACTAGAACCAGGTCTTTGAAAAATTAGTAGCATATAAACAGATGGAACGAAAAATAGTTCCAGGTGTGAGCAGTGATTCAAGCCAAATCTCAAGCCAATATGCACTTAGGAAGTAGCAAAAACAGTAGGACAAGCCCAGAAATTCTGTAGAAGGGATTCTAGAAAGTTCCTAAGGATTTTCTGTAACTTTTCATAAAGGCAGTATCTTGGTTACTTTCTTCTTATTCCTGGGACAAAATACCCCGCACCCAAATGAAGGAAGGAAAGGTTTATTTAGCTCACGGTTTGTGGAGGTTTCGGTGGTAATCAGATGGTACCACGGCAGGGCGGCCTAGCACCAGGGCAATACTTCAAGCCAACAACCAGAGCAAAAGCAGGGAGAATAAGAATCTTCTCTTCCCTTATATTGTACATGGAGCTGCTCCCCCTTCCAGGGTGTGTGTATCACTCACAAAATCTCCTCACTCTCCTCTTGCACAGGATGAGACTGTTTATCAAGAGCACTGGCTCCCTGCTGAGTCTCTTAGTTAAACTGCTACACTGCTCAAGTTGACACAGTGTATCAACCATAACAGGTACCAATCAGCTTTTGGTAGTTTTTAGCAAAAAACTCAACATAATCAAAGACAATTTTTTGTAAAAAAAAAAAATTATTACTAAAGACAAATTGATGTAAACTGTTCATCCAGGTCAGTGCCAAGAAGGATGCATTCATATTCAAATGGTCATTTTTATTTCACTAAATTAACAACTTTTGCATAATTATCTTAACAGGATTTTATACTAGTTGAATAGCACAATGCAATAAAATCAAGTTTAATGTCAAAACCTTTAACGCTTTTATGTTGTAATAATTCTTTTTCATTAACAGCCACTAGGCAAGTTTACAAGGGCTTCTTCTAATTAATGAAGAAACATTTTTCCCAGAAGCAGTGTGGTTTGCCTGAGATCATTATGAAAATTAATGGCAAAATCAGAAGAGTATACAGTTTGATTTGACCCACTACACATCTGGCTTGTTGTATGTGACATCACCCAATAATCACTTTTACTGTCCTGGGCAGGAAACCCAACCCATAGCAGAAACATTTGTAGTTTTACCCTTGAGATCCTAATTGTGCATTAAAATAGTGGCTTAGCCAATATCAGTTTTCTGTTCTGAGATGAGACCTTTTGCCCGAGAACACTGTGAGATCAATACAGCTGACACATGCATTCAGAGGCCAATGTCTAAGGCAATCCCACAGATCTAACCATCTGGTTCGCAAGTGGCTGTTCCTTTCTCTGTGCCTGATTCCAAAGGCCTTGGGGAGGAAGCCTTGGCAGATACTGAGATACCCTGCCAGGAGTGCAACTTGAAAGTGACAGGTAAGGTCACCTTAGGGATCCAGTTAGAGGAGCAGGTGAGGACTCGGGGAGAAGTCAAGTGCAGGTTTCTGCAAAGGTTCCACTGAAGCAGGTCTGGGCTCCCCTGATCCTGGGAACCTTTAGCCCAGCGTCTTCTTTTTCACCACCAGCAAATGTCCATGAAGGAAGGGATAGAAGAGGCTTTGGTCTGCTTTTTTCTAGTGTTTCGTAGGGTGGGGGATTAAACTCTTCTAGAACATGCAAATAACCTCTCACCAGAGATGCAACTTTCCCTCTGAATGTTGGCTGGGCATTTGCCACGTATGGCACCTTAACAGGGTGCTTCTGGAGTTGCTATCTGTTTGATTTATCCTCTTAAAGGAGTCAGTTTTCTCTATTTGGTAGATAAAGAAAGGAGAAGGAAAATAAGAAAATTAACCCAAACAACAAAAGGGAAAAAAAGAAGGAAAACCTAATCGCTAAGCATTGAATAGTTCAAACATATTCGGAGGAAGTTCACACATAAATCATTCCATCTGTGCTGGCATAGGGATCAAAGATTCTTTAAGGGTTACAAACTACCTCACAAATAAGGGAAAAATAAGCCATGCTCCTCACATGTATACTTAAAGAAGAGCTGCCAGAAAGATACAAGTGGCTACTTTTTTCTGGCTGGACACAAACTCCACTTTCCAATGATTTTGGCAATTACTCTGCAAAAGTTAATTAGTTCACTCTCTCCAACTCAGTTTTCCGTAGAAATTTAACAAATATTTGACTTTCACCCACACTTTGTTGTTGCTTGTTGCCTTTCCAAAGTTCATGAGCATATGTGTTTGATTTCGTTTGTTTCACCCTGTGGGACAAATTAATGAGCTAATCCACCAATTTTGTTAATCTTTGGGTGGAGATAAAGCAGATGTTATTTAAACGATTTCCTTAGCCTTTAAAACAACAAGGACAAGACAAGCAAGTAAACATAATGCAAATGCCCCCTCAAAGAAAGAAAAAATTGGTTAACAGGATGCAAAATATCTCCAATGGCATTTTCCATTTCTTACAAACAGCTATTCATGGAAAATCCTACTGCAGGTACTATGTGTACCTGAAGTCTTTCAACAGATTTGGTCGTTGTGTAATGCTTATATGATAAACTTCCAGATTTAGGCTCACTTACTCAACTAAAAGATCTGGTTGGCCTGCCAGGAGATCCAAAATCTCAGAGTGCTGAAGTCTCCCCCAAAATTAGTCTCCCCAGTTTACAGAGTTTATCACTTCCTATTTCAAAAGTTCTGAGGAAAAAAAGAAGTCTTTCATTTTCTTCTCAAGAGAGGCAATGCCTTTGGGAATGGCGAATGATTTAAGGAAGAAAAGAGAACCGAACACACTCAGTTACACCCAGAGATTAAAAAATTAGCTAACTCAAGGTGAGAACAGAAGTTTGAGGAAAGCCAAAAATTGCCTTAAAAAATATACTTTGAAATTCAAAATAGTAAATACAACCTTGAATGCCAAAGTTTCAAAGAACAAAAGATAGAAAGGAAATAACTTTGATGAGGAGGCGACCTTTGGGGAGGAGAATGAAACCGCTCCTTTAAGCACAGTGCTCAGCTTCTTAATGTAGACCGCAGGTTGCTGGAGCCTGTGGTCAAACTCAGTCCAGGAGGAGCACGCACTGGTCTCACCCCAGTGCTGCAGCGTGTCTGGGAGGGGTGTGTAAGAAGGGAACCAGCCTCACTTCCATTCTCTCTGCCATCAGAATGAAATGTAACTGTGTTCATTCAGATATACAAGGGTTAAAGGGGAGGTTGTGTGCATCGTGCATTGCAGGCGTGTGTTTGGCCACAGCTGGAAGCCATTAACAACTCTGAAACATCTTGGTAACTCAGTTAGAGGGTGGGTGGCCTGGCAGAGCTCCTGGATTTGTGTGTGTAATCAGAGATTCTTAGCCCTGGGAAGGGCTTTATTTCTACCTCCCACCCAGTGTAGAAACCCCCTTTCCACTATCCTCTTGCGCATGTCCTCTAGAGCCCATTCACAGCTCCATGGGGCAGCCCATCCTCCCAGAATGTCAATTCCTAGAAAGATCTTGGCAAAATTTCCCTCCATGGAAAGCTTACATTTTAAGTTCTAGCTCAGCTCTTTGGCACACAGCCATCCTACACAGGAAGACAATCGAAGCTTGCCTCCAAATTCTAGCTCTCCTATGGCTAAATGGGCCACTTCTGCCCACCATGATTCCCATTTAGTGGGTTCCAGTCCCTTCCTGAGCCTGCTGCTCTGCACTGTGCTCATGGTTCCCTTTTGAAGAAGGGGGCTCAGAACTGAATACATTCCCAGCTTGAAGGACGCATGACGTCTAGGGAACCTTTTCCCTAAGGACTTTTTTGGGGAAAAAAACCTTTGCAAAGAAGTTGCACCTCACTCAAACTGATGGCACATGTACCACAGTTTGTTATCACTGAAAGCTCTAAAAAGGTTCGCCATCACTGGCCTAGAATATCTTGTATGACCAAAACAAAGGTCACTTTTATTATATTTCCAAATTCCAGAAGCTTCCATTATGTCCCACCTTCTGCATGAAACACAAGCACTCCAGCCTCCGGAACCGGCTCAGCCTAGCAGTGTACTTTCCTCCCACCAGGCCCAGGCATCGAGCTTTCGCCCAGCGGGTCACTATTTTCCAATCATCTCTGACTCCGTTCCCCTTTCTAGAACAGTTTTCCCCTCTTCCTGTGAGCTCGTCTGAGAGTTTTTTCTTCCTGGATTAGGAACAGAGCATCTGAAAAACCAGTGACCTCCTGCCATTTCTTCAAGATTATTCCAGGTCACTGGAGGAGGGTCTTTTCCCAGAGTTCTCTTCTTTAATTAATTGTCCAAATAAGCACAGTAATCAGCTTTTTGTTTTCACGTTCAGCAGGTTAAATGCAGCGGATTCTCACTGTTGTTCTCTGGTCTAAAGGATGTCCCAATTACAGCTTTGTTCTCAATACCAGGAAGGGATGCAGGCTTCGCTCAGATTCTGACTTTGAGACCTTATGAATACACATGACCTCATGGGATCTCCTCATATATAAGCTAATATCACAAAAGGTAATTTGGACTTAATTTTGTATTCACAGCTGTGCCGCAGATCAACTGTGATGTCAAAGCTGGAAAGATCATCAATCCTGAGTTCATTGTGAAATGTCCAGCAGGATGCCAAGACCCCAAGTACCACGTCTATGGCACTGGGGTCTACGCTTCTTACTCCAGTGTCTGTGGTGCTGCAGTGCACAGGTGGGTGTCTCTAGCTGCTTAATAACAAGCAAGCAAGGTGCCAGAGGGGGCACCTGGTGCATAGTTGTTGGATTTAGTGAGTGAAAAATGTACAAATTTAACTGAATCCTGCATTATATGTGGTAGCCTTATAGGGAAAGGATGACCCAGAGGTCACACATGACCCTCCATCTCCTTGCATAGCACTCTTAGAAAGGGCAGCTTCTTACATGGTAGTAGGAAAGGAAACAATGCTATTCTTTCATGATCAGACAAGAAAATCAAAGTTCTTGATGCTATATAGCATTTTCGGCTCAGGGTAGAAACCATAAGAAAGTGGTCCAGAAATCTGGAGGGGAAAAAAAGCAAAGTTGTGATGACCTGAAAACAAATGTGAGGAGGAGCATATCAGGAGTACCGTTCACCCAACTGTTGATCTCATTGCTGAGACAAAATGCCCAACATCCATGGTTAAAGGAGGAAAGGATTATTTAGCTCACAGTTCATAGAGGTTTCAGTCCATGATCAACTGGCTCCAAGGAAGGGTGGCATGACAAAGGAGCAATATTCATGGTGGTAAAAGACAGCAAAAGCCACCAGAGAGGACGGAGAGGAAACAGGAAGCTGCTTTCTGTCCCTTATATTAGTCTATGCAGGCTACCAGCCCTGTGGCAAAGGTAGCACTCATACCCTTCATCCATGAATCAATCGCTAGATTCAAACTCTAGGTTCAGCCACCTCTGAGAAGCCCCATCTAAAAGTGCATGAAGCGGGGCTGGGGATTTAGCTCAGGGCGTAAGCACCTGCCTTGCAAGCAGGCAGTCATGAGTTCGATCCCCGGTACCGATAAAAAGGAAAAAGACAAAAAAAAAAAAAGTGCATGAAGCTTTTGGGGGACATTTAGACACAAGCCACAGCAGTTGTTCAGTCATAGCTCTGCCAGAGTAAGAGGAGATGATGCAAAATCCATTCCCTCTCAAGGTGGCTGAGCAGTAGACACTCTGAAATTTGAGGGGAGAAAAAACTATGCATAAGGTAAAGTTTAACAATTATTAATAGATTATATTAGGCATGCTTCCCTTTTCCTCATGGCGTGATGAACTTGCTGGTTCTTTCTAACCAGCAAGGAGAAGGATAATGAAAGCTCTCCTCAGGCTAAGTAGTAGAATATAAAAGAAAAACAATACAAATATACAGTTTCTTAACTCCAAAATATAGAATAAAAATGGTTTTCTTTTCCCCTGAAATCAATTTCATGCCAAAAAAAAAGAAGCGAACATGTCTATACACGTGCACAAATACACATGTGGATGGCACCCTGTGATTATTTGCCCCACACTCATCTCTCTATTCATATATTTACACACTCATGCAGCTCTACTACACGTATGGATAAATGCATGTGCATGTTCACACACACACACATCTTTACACACATATGCGTACCTGCGCAGCCCACAGCAGGGTCAGCACCCTCCAGCGTATGTCTGTGTAGTCGTTCCAGTGTCTGTGTAGACAGTCACGTCAGATGCAGGTGCTGAACCTGTGTCAAGGTGGCCTGTGTTTTTGCAGTTGTGGCCCTACGTGTTTGACACCTTGCTTCCTCTGGCATTTGCTGGTTCTCCCCTGCTCTCTTACATTTCCTAGGCAGAACAGAGCCACAATAGCAAATCTGACCTTACCAGAGCTGCCATCAACAAGTGATCCTTTATACTGGCTTTCAGAGAAGGAATTCAGGCACAGAGAAGTTAATTAAACAGCTAGTTACGTGGTGAAGATTAGAACTGAGGTCCCCTGACTTTCAACCCAGAGCCCAAGCAACACTTTTATACAAGAATTGGGGAACCCAGTACTACTTTACTGTACTAAGTGAGGATTCAAGGGGGTGTAGACCTTATAAGATTAGGAGCTGGACAAGGCTGTAAGCAGGACAGAAATGGTCTTGGAAAGGAAAATACGAATGGCATTCACAGGGCGGGACTCTGTGATCCCAGCTCGTGAGGTAGAGTGCAGGATCACGGTGGGAACAGCACGGAGGAGAGTGGAAGAGAGAAGCTTGAATGTTTCAAAAACAACATTGGCTGTTTGAGCAACTGAGCGCCCCTGCGGCTTCCTGGACTGGTGACTGAGAAAGTGGAAAAACTATTTAGAAAATGGCATCACTATCCATGAGGAGGATGGACAGAAGTCTTAAGGAAAAAGAGGACGTTAGGAAGCAATTAACTTTTCTGTGAAAAGAGCAAGTCTGTTTTCAGCAGACAGGGTTTAAGACCCAGGGAGTAGAAAGTATATTGAAATCTTACTGTCGTCCTGCTAGAATCTCCCACAGTCAAAACTGAGAGCGAGAGAGAGAGAGAGAGAGAGAGAGAGAGAGAGAGAGAGAGAGAGAGAGAGAGAGAGAGAAACTGTGGCTTAGATATTCAGGTTATCTTAAATTGAAGGATTTAATAATCACATATATTCGATTCTCATGCTCGGATAACTTCTTACAAACCAGCCCCTGATTCCTTCAGACTGAAAGGATAATGCACGTATCAGAGGCATCTTGTTTTGGCTCAGTCTCATCCTAAACAGATCCCTGTATTTAAAGTTGGGCCAGTTCCTGGGGGAAGAGAGAGTTCTCTGCGATGCAGCTCTGAGGCAGAGCACCCTTCCTGCTGATTCCTGACCAGACGCCCATCCTCAGGACAGCAGCTCTTCAAAGCCTGGTTCATTGGTTTCTTGTCCCTACTCTCGGAGCCAAGAAGCTGACCCTTGGCTTAGTTCAGACTCAGTACCAGGATCAGGAAGGTGGCTCACATCAAGGTCACACGCAGAGCCTCACAGAGCATCCAAGAGGCACAGAGGAGAACTTGTGTTGTTCTCCCCGAGGATAAGAATACAAATGAAGTCATATCCAAACAAATTCTATTATGCTACCAGCTGCTCTCAGGTGGAACCCACAGCCTCTTTCTAGCTGCCTCTTTCTCTTTCTCCAGCATCTGCTACATCAGGCAGGTCTCCGTGTGTTCTCAGCTTACCTGCAAGATGAGGCTTCATTCTCTGCCCCAACAAGAAAATATCAAAGAACGCAATACTTCCCTGTCTAAACCTTCCCGGAGTCTGGGGCTGCGGTCTTGTGTAAGCCTCACAGGGACAGCACGGCCATGGGAATCCTATTCTTAAACATGAGCAAGGTTGTGAGAATATAGATCCTCAAAGAACAGTTCCCAGGGCAACGAGGTAGAAGCCCAAGAGCAGAATAATTTTTCTGGAGAAAAGAAAAAATGAAATTGTTATTACCATTATCTCATTAATTATAAGAGCATGGTGCCTTTTTTTTTCTTTCTTTTCTTTTTTTTTTTTTTTAATTAGAATTTTCAGCCTAAACCACCAGTGTACTGGTAAATGCTAAGCAACCAGCTCTCCCAAAGTGGCAGGCTTGATTTGTCAATTTCCATGTATAAATACTCACCACGGTTGATTTCAAGCTACCAAAGTCAAGGCAACCAGCTCCCAAAATCCAGAAAGTTTACAAATGAGATCGTAGAAGTTCGTTTTCAGTGCCAACTAATAACACTGGTTGGGTTTTTTTCCACGGAGACCTGGGTACACTGTCCTTCTCATGTGAAGAGTTCTGATTTAACTGAGAGACAAAATTATTTCAAGAAATTTTTGCAAAGTAGTACAAGATGGGACAGAACCAGAGTCCACATTGGGAGAACAAGAATCTAAGGGGCTGGGACAGCTGTGCCAGCCTCTTCTCTAAAGGAAGGAGCATGTGCACCTCAACAGCTTGACTGCAGCTGGACAGGAGGGCACCTGATGGTGGAGAGAGGGTGATAGAGGCTTGGGGGAGGAAGGAGACTGGCCTGGGAGCTCCATGCTGTTGGGCCCTGAGGGGTCACTGTGACCAGGAAAACAAGCCCCACATAGGAGATTAGTTAGATCTGGGTTCAGAGCTCTCTTGCAATTCACTAGGTGCCAAACCTTGAAGCATTCACAGGAGCAGCTTGTTTCTATGGGATGGGAATAACACTATTCCTTCTAGACCAGGACTCAGAGGTTTGCTGGGAGACCCCAGGAAATATCATATGTGAGATGATTCTAAAGCCGTTAAGTGCTTTATATGTCAAGTATTATTATCACTTTTCTTTCCTTGTGGGCCAGTGGAAAGCTGAGTGTTGAAAATAGTTAACTCACTACAAAGATAGGAAGGCAGGAAATGCAACTCTCATTCCTGGAGGGAAGCAAGAGTGTTGATGAGAGCAGACCCACATCCTCTTTTATTCCCCATCCTGTAAGTTACGGATACCCAAAGAGCCATGTTTCCTCTGAGACAAGGCAATGACGGTGGAAAAGTGCTATTTAGGCAACAGAGTGGACCCCTTGCCTAACAGAAGGAAAAACATGACACACCCATCGATTTACATTAGGACTTACTTACTGGCCCAAAATAAAATAAAGCGCAGTACGTGTACACATGAGAATGTCACAATGAAACTTACAACTTCGTACAACTGATATGCACTAATAATTATAAAAAGGAAAAGAAGAGGAGGATGAGAGAGAGGGGGAGAGGAATTTGAATTATTTTATACCACCCTTTTAAACAACTGGACTTGTTCTGCAGTGTCACAAAACCAAATTGGAAATTATCAAGTAAAAATTTTACTTATAGAACCAGTGGCCGAATTCCATATCTTGGCTACCGTGAATAGCACCACAATAAACCTGAGGATGCAGATATCTCTACGGTGTGCTGGTTTTGGTTCCTTTGAGTATATACCCAGGAGTAGTATAACTGGATCTTATGGTAGTTCCAGTTTTAGTTTTTTTAGGGTCAGCCTAGATACCCTACCTCGGATTAATAGATAAAGAAAATTATACATATGTTGTATCATTTCTCGTTTTCAGAAAAATGGATGGAACTAGAGATCTACACGATAAGCCAAATAAGCTAGACTCAAAAAGACAAGTGTCACATGTTGTCTTTTATGTGTGAAATCTAGAAAGGAAAAAGGTGACAAGAAAGTAGAAGAGGGGCTGATAGGAAACAGGAAACAGAAAGGTAATAGGAAAGGTGGGTGTGATCAAAGTGCAGTATGTGTACACATGGGAATGTCACAATGAAACTTACGACTTCGTACAACTGATATGCACTAATAAGTATAAAAAGGAAAAGAAGAGGAGGATGAGGGAGAGGAGGAGAGGAAGAAGGGGGAAAAGAAAGAGAAAAAAAACAAGTGGGAAAGCCAGGTGTGACAGCACATGCTTGTAGTACCAGTTACTCAGGGAACAGACAGGAGGGTCACTTGAGATCAGGAGATCAAGGCCAGCTGGTGCAATATCAGGAGCTGAGGAGGAGAAAGTCAGGGAAACAGGAGTCTAAGGCGTGGTGGTGAAGCAAGATTTCTGACTGGTGAAACAATCAGATTTTGTAAAAAGGAAAAAGACATCTGACCTGGGAGATCAGAGGCCAGCCTGAGTGATGAAGGCGCTATTATTGGGGTAATTTTTTCATCTTGGTGCTTCATGTTTAAATAAAGATGGAAGCTGTGAACCTCAAGCATTATCTCTGTACTTTTTCCAAAATCTCTTTCTTTTCATAGTGGTGTGCTCAATAATTCAGGAGGGAACGTACTTGTTCAAAAAGTGGCCGGACAGTCTAGTTACAAAGGAAGCTACTCCAATGGCGTCCAGTCGTTGTCTCTACCACGATGGAGAGAATCCTTCCTTGTCTCAGGTATGGCCACGTGCTAGAAACGCTGCCCGTTTGCAGGTACCTGGAAGACCCTCCAGGGGGAAATGTCTTCTTTGGGGGGTACTGTTAGCTTTTATTTGTGTCTTACTTTATAAAAACATTAAGCATTAATTCTTCTGATAATAAGAATCATGAAACAATGAATATAGCTACATGGTAAATCATTACAGAGTCAAATCTGAAAATATTAAAAGGCTCCAAGGGTTCATTTCAAAGACATTGCACCTACATGTAAACCCTGTCAAACTGTTAATAAAAATATTTAAATTTAATAACTTGGGTTTTTAACCAGTCCTTTAGCTAAACCAAGTGTGTGTCAAGTCCAGAAAATTATCCATTGAGATTTCTGGTAAATTAATAGCTGGGGCAAATCCTTAGAAAATTGACCCACTGTTTTATTGTAGCTCTTTTAAATTTTTGTTTGTTTCACTGTTTAATCTGCTTTTCCTGTCTAGCTTGATAAGATTTTTTGGTAGATAATCATTTTTGGTCTTTTCCCTCCTTTCAAAAAGATAGCATCAGTGATCTAAGGCCACTGTATGGTTTCACAATTAAAAGATAACCAGATAGTTTTGTACTATTGTTACCCATTTTCCCACTTTTTTCTGTTTTTGTGAATTTCCCCAACCCAACCCATTTTGAAATGTTTGTACTTGCAGAAAAATTAAAGAATAGTATGGTGAGTATCCATGTTCCTTTCATTTAGGTTCACTAATTATTAGTATCTTGCCACATCTCTTTTACATACCCCCCCCCGTCACATACTCAACTCTGTTCTGAACCATGTGAAATAAGCTGCATGCACCATGACATTTTGTATCTAAATACTTCAGCACATATCTTATAGGAACAGGAACATTTTCCTAAATAACAATAATACTAATGCCACACTTAAAAATTTAACATCTATGCAGTAATATTATCTGATAACAGTTGAGGAAGGTGAAGCAAGAGGATCAAAATTTGAAAAATTAAAAAAATAAACCAGGCATGATTGGCATGCACCTGTAATCCCAGCACTTGGAAGGCAGAGCTAGGAGAATTGCCGTAAGTTGAAGGCAGCCTGGGCTACATAATGAGATTCTGTCTCAAAAATCAAATGAACATAGCATGGGCAGGTGGATCCAGCCAGATCCACCTCAGGTTGCTGGCTGCCACCATTGGAAGACTTGCTTCCTGTGGCCAACCAGGGCAGGCAGGGAGACATAGCCAGATAAGCCTTCAGGCCACCATTGGAGATCCTTGCTTCCTTGGGCATCCAGCACACACTGGGAGACTCAGACAAACACACTCCTGTGTGTCTGCTGCCGTTAAAGGAATCCCAGTGTAGACATGCAGGTTGGGGGAAGCAGCTCCACCACCATGCACCCCTGGCCATCAGGGAAGCCCCAGAATAGCTGCACAGGTCTGAAGAAGCCCACCCCATGCCCTGTGACCTCCCTAGGAAACTGGGGTCAGAGAAACCCAAGTGTCTGTCCCATTCCCCTCCACTGCAGAGGGGAGCCAGTGTGAGAAGTGCTTGGGACTCCACAGCCAGCTTGTTGGGAGGAACCCAGAAAAATGTCAAGAAGAAGGAGCAAAAAGCAATCTCAGCCCTCCAGCCCACACAGAACAAGTCTGAGATATACTCACAGAAGAAATGGAAGTCTCACAAAAGGATAGCAACTGAAGTAAAGAAACAACTTCATGAGACTATAAAAGTAATCAGATCAGAAATAACATCTTAGGTAGAAGAAGAAATCACAAGCATAGTGGAAGAATTGCTGAGCATATCTAAAGAAGACATAGATAGAGAAGAGGACCATAGGAAATTAATGGAAACCTTGAATGAACAACATAGGATGGAATCACAACGCATGAAACAGATTCAAAGAGAGATCCAGGAAATTAAAAAGTCAACCAAAGCTAGCAAAATCACTTGAAAGAGACTGCAGGCAGACTTTCAGATCTTGAAGATAGGATTGCAGCTAGCAACCATGAAAGGAAAGATCTCTTAAAAATAACAAGGAACCAGGAAATAACAATTCAATGGCTGCAAGATGATGCAAAGAAAAATAATTTAAGAGTGATAAATATCAGCACAGAAGCAGGGGTCAAAACAAATGAAATTAAAAGATTATTTATAGAAGTAATAGCAGAAAAACTTCCCCAAACATGGGGAAATGGATCTGGCATGCAGATAAGCAAGGCATATAGAACTCCAGTTAGCCATAACCAAAGTACATCTACACCCAAACATATAATAATCATGATCCCAGAAATTCAGCATAAGAACAGACTATTAAAAGCTGTTAGAGAAAAGAAATAGATCACCTATTAAGGAAAACCCATCAGAATCACAGCAGATTTATCAACACAAACCATCAAGTCAAGAAGAGGCTGAAAGAAAACAACTTCAAATTCAGATTGATGCACCCTGTAAAACTATCTTTCAAAATTGATGGAAAAAATAGGATGCTTCTATGCTAAAGAACAATTGAAGAAATTCATGACTGCCAAACCAACTCTACATCATTCTAGGAAGAGCAGCAGAGGAAGATCACCAAACAGGACTGGCAAGTGAATGAAGGGGAAAAGTGGAGGGCCAACAACAGGAGGATTGCATGATAAAGATGAACCAATGTGTGCTGAGTGTAACTGTTAATGTAAATGGCCTCAATTCACCAATAAAAAGAAATACAAGGAGAAAAGAAACACAGGGAGAGTGGATCAAAAAGCAAGACCCATCAATGTACTGTATACAAGAAACGCACTTAACTCAAAAAGAAATTCATAGACTGAAAATCAAAGGAGAGAAAACAATTGTTCCACACGACAGGAGGCCAGAAAAAAGAACGGTAATTTGCCCATCAAGCACAGAATGGATAAGAAAAAAAAGATGGTATTTTCATACAATGGAAAGCTACTCAGCTATAAAGTAGGATAGGAGTCCCTTGTAGGTAAATGGATGCAACTGGAGATCATGTTCAAACAGTTTGAACTCATATGGGTGACCATCGAGTTATCTCCCTAGCATAAAAAAATGAAGGAGTTAATGGAATCCACAAGGTACAATAGATACTATGAAAGTGATGGGAGAGAAAGTGTCTAGGAGGGGAAGGTGGTAACCGCTGTTAATTTCTTACTGTCTTGTCTTGAACTCTTGTATTGTTTTTGTAATTTTGTTAGATTTGGTTTGGTTCTGTCCTGTTTTGTTAGATTTTACTGTGTCTGATAGTATGGACAGCTGTTTGAAGATATTAGGAAGCATTATGATAACCACGGTTGGTTTCCTATTATCCTGCTTTGATGCTTTTTAATGCTTTCATTCTTTTATTTGTGTTGGTTTTATTCTGTTTTGTTTAGTCTGATTTTAATATGTATGATGGTATAGACAGCTGTTTTGAAGAAAATGACACATTATGGTAGCCACTGTTGATTTCCTATCATTTGTTTTGAAGTCCTATAATGCTTTTATTATTTTGTTTTGATTGGTTTTATCCATCATATTTAATTTGATTTTATTATGTGTGATAGCATGTACAGCTATTTTGAAGAAAACAAGAAACATCATAGTAGCAATTGTTCATTTCCTGTTATCTTGAAGTCCTGTACTGCTTTCATTCTCTTGTTTTGATTGGTTTTAGTCTGTTTTCTACTGTTTGATTTTATTATGTGTGAAGGTATGCACAGCTATCTTGAAGAAAACAAGAGACATTATGATAACCATTGTTGGTTTCCTGTTACTATGTTTTGAAGGTCCATAATGCTTTCATTATTTTGTTTTAACTGGTTTTATTCTATTTTGTTTTGTTTGATTTTGTGTGTGGACACCTATTTTGAAGAAAACAAGAGACATTATGGTAGCCACTGCTAATTTCCTGTTATCTTGATTTTGAAGTCATGTAATAGTTTTATTCTTTTGATTGGTTTTGTTCTGTTTTTTTGTATGTGGAGGGGTTTGTTCGTTTGTTTGTTTGTACCAGGGTCAAACTCACAACCTCAAACTTTCCAGGCAGGTGATTATAACACTGAGCTACACCCCTGGCCCGGTTTTGTTCTGTTCTGTTTTGTTTTGTTTTATTTTATTGTGTATGAAGGTATACATAGCTATTTTGAAGAAAACAAGAGATATTGTGGTAGCCATTGTTGGTTTCCTGTTGTCTTTTCCTGAAGTCCTGTGTTACTTGCACTGTTCTGCTCTGATTTGCTTTGTTCTGTTTTGTTTTGTTTCCTTTCAAATAAAATAAAACAAAAATTTAAGTAAAAGGAACTGGGGATGTAGCTCAGTGGTAGAGTGTTCCTAAAATCAATCCCCCAGTGGCAGAAAAAAAGAGCATTGCCTTTCAGTGATCTCCAAAATATTCTTTATAATACAACCCAGGACAGTTGTCTGGTGCTATTTCTTATAATCCAAGCCAAAAATATGCTGTCCCCTATGATTAAATTCAGTTTAAATATTTGGAAAAGGCTAGGTGGTATCAAAGCACATACCACAATGGCCATCCCAAGAGGCATAAACTAGCTTGTCTCATTGTTGATACTAAATTTAGTTATTTGTGTATTTTACGATATCTCTCAGGGTAAGGATCCATGTGGGATGATACTTCAAAATGAATGCACAAATCATGCCCCGGTAAATTTTGCTTAACATGTTTAACAGCCGTTGCTCATCTTTGTGGAAGCAAACATTGCATTAGTACAGTGGCCACTCAGAATCATGAGAAACTGGTCCAGGACCCCCTTTGAATGTCAAAATTTTCAGGGTGTTCAAGTCGCTAATGCAATAATTTAACACTCACATAAAACATTCATACATCCTCTCATAACTTTCATCTCTAGTTTACTTAATATGCCCAATACAATGGAAACGTCATATGAATAATTGTTACACTGTATTGACCAAAAAAATGTACATCTTCAGTACAGACATGTTTTCTAAATATTTTCAACTTTGAGTTAGTTGAATTGATAGATTTGGAACCCATGAAAAGAGGACTGGTTGTAATTGTAAAATTATAATTTTTCCTAATTATGCCTTCCTTCCACATTTTAGTAGTTAGTATTCCTATGTAATGAAGAGTTTTCTTTCTTCTACTGATAACTTTTTAAATGTAATCAGTGGACTAGAGGATTGTTTCTTAAAATGTGATATAAAAATTAAGCATTTAAAATATATACAGGGCCAGGGATTTAACTCAGTGGCTCAGAGCCTATCTGGTAAGTGCAAGGTCATGAGTTTGATTCCCAGTATCAAAACAAACAAATAAATATAAAAATATGATGTGTTATTATCATTATCCTCATTACCCTGGTTAGTCCTCACATCTGAGATGGGCCAGTGGGACCCTTCCGGGCTTTGACAGGCCCACAACAATGTTGGTTTCCTTTTGCACACCTTGAACTTCACCCACTTGGAACCCGAACTTGCCATGTTCTCTAAGGTAAGTAAGGGATGTCCAAGGAATTTTAAACTAGATTCTCACAAAACATCCTGACCTCCCAGGAAGACTAGAGGCTGCAAGGCTTTGCCGAGAAATAGATACCTATGGGAAACAGAGAGAGAAATGTTTTATAACATAGTGGGTCTTCCAGTCTAGGCGATTCTCTGGCACAATTAGGCATCCAGCGCAAACCTCTACTATCCTCCATTCATCAGAGTGGTAAGGAAACTAAAAACAGACCTTTGAGGATTCTGCTTTAGCAGTCTGCTTCCTTTGGACTAGCCAAATGCTGCACGCTTAGGGTTTGACTTACATTTGTTTCTTTCAGGGGCTGGGGATTTAGCTCAGCGGCATAAGTGCCTGCCTTGCAAGCAGGCAGTCGTGAGTTCGATCCCTGGTACTGGTACAAAGGAAAAAGACAAAAAAAGAAAAAAGAAGCATTTGTTTCTTTCAGATAATGGAAAGCCTCCCACCGCAGTACTGCTGGGCTCTTTACCTTGTAACTAAGAATTCAGGCTATATAAAAATGGTAGTGTCTAGACTGCAAGTATGCTGAGCTAGAAGTGTAATCTCCACATAGCTATCTACCAAGCAACTCTTAGCTAAGAGCATCTCACACTCAAGAGAAGGCAGGGAATATAGCTCAGTGGCACAGCACATACCTGGCGAGCATGGGGTCCCAAGTTTGATTCCCAGGACCAAAAGGAAAAAAAAAAAAAAAAACCCAAACAACAAACCAACCTCAAGAAATCAGCATGAAGAATCCTACCAAAGGTTAAAAAAAACTTAACTCCATGAAAGTAGATATGTTTTGGGGTTTTTAAATGAAAAGTAACCTTCGAGATTATTTCCTATACATCTCAGCCGCCATCTCCCCTCACTCTGCCTCGTGACATTTGACTGAAAATATTTTCTGCCAGTGAGAAACGTGTGTGCTTCTGCCGTGGCTGGAGCCCCATCCCAAATAGAGGAGTTGAAAGCGCACTGCTTCTTCGGGCTGCAGCCCCAAAACGCTCCATTATCTTGAGGTTCACGGCCAACAAGTTTAACAGGATCATGTCAGGATCGTCTTCTGAAAGCTAGAATGACTCCCTGAGCTTTCTCTAGGTTTTATTTCTGGGTTTTACGGGTCGCTGTGCTCCTTCGGTTCCTCCGTGTTGGGGTGCTGGGAATGGTGGAGAGCAATGCACCTTTCTGGTCGCATGATCACTGGACAGTCGGGGTGTGAGGGGTTGGTGAGGGACCCCGCACGCTGCCCCAGTGCCCTTCAATCCACTGAGCTCATCCTCCTTTTACCCTCTGAACAGGAACAGAAGAAACTATTTATTGGGTGTTAGTTGTGAGAAGAGCAGAGGGAGGCCGTGCCTGTCCCCCACCTTCTGTTGCACAGCGTGACCCTCAGCTGTAGGGGTCACAGGGGACCACACAGCCTCAGTCAGCATCACTCAGTGTAGGCCTGCGCTGGTCTGAGGGCTTAGAGTCACCAGCTTTGTCTCTAGTGTGATTTTTCTGAGCTGGAGTATCTAACACCCACAGATCCGAGTATCTGGCCTCATTCTGTCTTTGGGTGGCATTTATAGATAATACTAGAAGATACTATACATGTTTGTGTTTTTATGGATATATAAAGTGTGGCTGAAAAATTCAGTGAATGTTCTTATATTTTTTTACACTGAAAGGCACATTGGACTAACTTCCCTGAAAACATTGACCCTTGCCCCGTACACAGTTATCCTGTGGTTCGTGCCACTTTCTGAAGCCCTTGTGGAAGTCCACTTTTGTGTCCTCACTGCGGTAAAATGTTTAGCTTTCATTCTGACTCTGGGGAAAAGTCAGAAGTCACGCAGTGCTGGACCCAGAGGTCAGGAGCATGCGGACCCTCCGGTGTTTTGACACGCCCGCCTTTCCACGGGATGACACTTGCATTCCTGCACTGTTTTCACACCTTGTAGAGACACCAGAGCTGCTTCAAAAAGTGTCAAGAACAATGTGTTAAGAGCAGTTCAAGTGAGGGCGAGGATTCGAAAGAGGCTTAACAGCGATGGGTCTTTTATTGTAACCAATTTTTTAATTTAAATATTCACGTTGATTTAAATCCCACCCTGATGATAGATACAGATAAATTGATAGATGATAAACGTTCCAAAGCATTCTAACTTTTTTCATCAAATTCCCGTTACTTTGTGTACTAAGTGGAAGCCCTATCATTATTCATATTTTCTGAATGAAAAAACGTCTTTTGGACTGCAGCAGCTGCTTAAAGGTAAAACAGAAAGTGAAACCTGGCATCCTGGCTCCCAGCCCCGACCCTTCCCGGGCCCTGCAACCCCTCCGTCCTTAGGACGTTTGCAGATTCCACCCCACCTTTCGCCAAGCCCTCCCTGTCCTCCGCAGCTGCGTCCTCTGCCGGTGTCCCCTGCTGTGGAGAGCCCATCGCTTCATTACACCGTGTAAAAACTGGACGAGTGAAGGCCCTCCAATGCATGGGAACGCTCGCGCTGGGCTGGGCATTGGGCTATTTCTTTGGAGGGTGAATACTTCTCGAGCCCATATGCTGTGCCAGATGCTGCTTGAGGCCCTGGAAATTTAACGGCTCCCAACCTAGACAAATTGCTTGCCTCTGGGGGCTTGCTTCGTTCCACAGGCACTTGCCCTTTCATTAGACGGGGAGGCTCCCGCAGTGGAATTTAAGGCATGTCTTCTGGTCGGGTGACTTCGCAGGTGGCCGCCTTCCCAAGCAGTTTGCAGTAGTAGCGGTCTAGGTGCCTGCTTATCCACTCACCTGGTCTCCATCCTTTCCTATTTCCCTGTTAGACATACCATTCCTCCTCCTTGCCTGCATTAAAGCCTCACTTAGAGTAGATAACAACTCTCTCTCTCTCCCTCCAAAGCCGGATCATGCCATGTAGCCCAGGCTGGCCTCAACCTTACAGTGATCCTCCTACCTCAGCCTCCTCCTAAGTGCTAAGATTCTGGGCATGCACCACCAGGCCCAGCTACAAGTGATGATTTTCTGTGCTGATGTCTCTTTATCTACTTCCGGGTTTCTGGGCTGCTTTGGAATTCAGACATCCTTGGGGTCTGGGAAAGGTAGCTGTGCTCACATAACCAGCGCAGCCTGAAAACTGTGTCACCTTCCAGAGCATGTGGAATGTTTTGTGTTCAGCTACCGCTGCAATTAAACATTCAAAGCCACATGAGTGAAAGAGGGCTGCTAATGTTCAAGGACCCCGAGTCAGGGAGATTTTATCACTTTCATTCGAATATTAATAAAACACAGGCTCTGTGGGAAAACAAAATGCCACTTGACTTTCTTATTGTAATCAACAACTCATTGCAAGGCAGACTAATTTTATTGAACTGGAGAGAGATAAATTGGAAGGCATGAATCAACTTATCAGTACAGAGTCATCTAAAATCTCTAGCTCTAGAAACTAATCTCTTTTTCTCCTCTCTTTTGCAGAAAGCAAACCCAAGAAGGGTGTAACCTACCCATCGGTCCTTACGTATTCATCAGGGAAGCCTCCAGCTGCCAAAGCAGGCAAGTGTTCATCTGTGATTCCGTCCAAACCTTTTCAATTGGTCAACTCGAAATACCGTGTTTTAGGAGATGGTGGACAAATTAACATGTTAACCGGTCAAGCCCCACTGACCCTGGTGATATTTTAACCGATGCCAGGAACAAAGCGGAGAGATGGATGGCCTCAGACAGCTGCAGCTGAGGAATGAAGGCTTTGTGTTTTTGTTTCCACCATCCAAGATTGTCTCTACATTGTGTCCTTTTCATTTAAAATGACTGTTGCCTTGAAATGTATCATACTGTTACTTTAGAAGATGACAAGACGTTCTGTCTGGAAATGTTCCCTGGCAACTAAAAGGGAAAAAGCCTGGATCAGCTTACAGATAAACGGAAGCGGGGACAGGGTGTGATGCGGATTCTGTGATCACAGTGAGCAGCTAAGGGGACTCACCCAGGCCAAGATGCACCATAGGCAGGGCTGCACCAACCCAGCTCCCACTCGAGCCACCAACAGGAGGCACAGACCTCTGGCCAAGAAATGTTCTTGTTCAGGTTTCTGTATTCAACCAAGAGCTAGCACGTGCACTACTGTCTTGGGAGGACCTTCAAGTTTCCCACACACTCACAGGGAAGTGGTGAGCTGCTAGTCTTCTCATGGGATTTGGTTTTGGCTTCCAGGAGTGCCAGGGGGAACGTGACCAAAGAACAGCACCGGGAGCTGGCATTCATGGAGCTTTTGCTATGTGCCAGGTGCTGTTTCCAGACACTTACCTGAGCGTTGTAATCACCCTGACGACCATGACCATCAGGGTGCACTGTCCTCATCCCTACTGTAGAGTGTAAGAAGACAAGGCACAGAGAGGTGAAATACAAGCGGTTAGAAAGGAGCAGGGTTTAGAGTCAACTCTACGGTCTGGTTCCAGAAACCTCTAAGTCCTCGTGCTGGCTTTTCTTATGCAAATGACAGTACACACGAAGAGTGCCCATTTCTAAGCCTTGAGATACAAGTTGTTTCTGTCTCCTGCATTCACTTGAAGTGCAGTGATCTAGCTGTGTGTGTTTGGTTGCAAGGACACAACTGCCCACACTCACATCCACAAGTTCTCATGGGTGGCGGTGCCTCATAAACCCTTTCTGAGTTGTCACCTGTCCTCTAGAGGTGTGGAACAGGGCAGAGGAACATATGACAGGGTTCCTGTTAAGTGTCAGATGTTGGTTATATCCTGTAGCCCCGTGGCCTCTGCTCCTATAAATTCTGAGTGGGTGAAGTGTGAGGACAAACCAGGCAGTGTTCAGTTTCATCCTAGCCCCTTTTTTGGGAATCTCATCATTGGGCCTACCAAGCCCCTGGGGAGTCCCTACACAGGGAGCCTGGGGAACTGCTGGGATCCCCCCCGGCCCAGGCCTGAGAGCAATGGGAGGAGGCGCAGCCACCTCATTCTCCCTCGGCTGCTGAGGTCTGCAGGCTGGGACCTCCACCTGTACCCCTCTTCTTTTCAGAGTCCCCACATGCAAGCAGACCCCCAGCTTCAGAAAACACATGTCAAGCACCCATCTTTTTGCCCTGAGAGAGGAGAGTCCTTCTAGACTCCCCCAACATCTCTACAGATGCTAGACCTCAGGAAGCTCAGCAGGAGATGAGGGGCCATCTCCCCACCACAGGCTCTTTGGAGCATCTTCCCCTAGCTGGGGAAGGACAAAGCAGGAACAGTGGGGGTGTCCTCTCACCCTGAGCCTTTCACTCCCCGCAGTGTGCCTGCGGAGCACTCTACTCTGCCTCCGGCTGCTGCCTAGCCGAGGACGGGTGGGGCTGACTTCGGAGTACACTGGAATGGCTCCATGCACAGATTGCTCAGCAGCCCTTCCTGCCACTTAGAAGGTACTCAGGCCCTTCTGGGTCCAGCTTTCAACCAGAATCTGAATCAAGGGAAGAAGCCACACAGCCTTGGGCGACCTTAGGTATCTGTCAAGGCTTTGTCTATGACAGCCCCTTGCCCTGCTAGCCATCCCCAGTGGTGCCATATCTTTCCCTCCTGTAGATAAGGAGGTTGATCTTAGAGAGATTTAGTAACTGAACCAAGGGTATGGTCCCTACAGGACTCAGCTTCTGATTATATCACCTTAAAGCAGATAAGGAGTCCAGGGGAGAGAAACCATCACCAAGAATAGAATCCATTTGGTTTTCATGTCCTTCATAACAAAGATCATTTCTAAAACTGCTCTACCTACCAGCCTCCTGGTCATTCACTTGGGTCACTGCTCCCTCTGCCAATGTCCCTGACACCCAGGACAAACACAGGTGGACCAGGGTGCTTTTTTTTTTTTAATTCAATGCTATATAAATTCATAAATTAGCAAAAGCCGTAATTAAAACACAAACATTGTTGCTGTTACTTGGCTCCTTTACCAAATCATCTCAACCTTCTGTGACAATGTCACCAGGAATTACTGCCTACTCTTATTACTAGATCATTTATGATGGTTAGAGCAAGAAGAATTACATTGACTTGTCCATTCATTCATTCATGACAAGGGAGCCATGCACAGACACCCTCCTCTGTACCAGACCTGAGCTAAATGACACACATTCAAGACAGAGGACCCTCTGCCTTTAAAATCACACGCCCACCATGGAGTGGGTTTTCAGCAATTCAAGCAAAATAATTTCAGGGAAAAGGGTCAAAGAGTGGTCCTCTTGTTGTTACCTTTCCTTAAATGATTTAATTCCTTTAGCAATTGGGTGAAGCAGAAGAGACAGAGATTGCTCAGGTCTGAGCAAGCCCACTGCAATGCTTCCTGGTCTCTCCAAGAATGTAAGCTAACAGGTAAATCAGGTTAGGGTGAGCATCGCCCATAGCATCATACGATTTCCCTGGGAATTCATCTCACCCGAAAAATAGAAAGCCCCTTGACTGGCTTTATGCCTCTCCTGCTGAGAACAGACATTACCTGAGATTTAAACACTGTTCCCCAGGCAGTTAGCAATGACTAGGCTGGCAGCTGTTTCTTGGCTAGACCTTGTGTCTACTTGAAAGTAAATAAAAACGGTAAGTGTTGATTTGTGGGCACACACACACACACACACACACACACACACGTGTGTGTGTGTGTGTACATGATGGGACAGTACATCCTGGGTGTCTCTACCTGCCAAAGCCATCCTCACCCTCTCTTCAGAATATCTTACCAAGATCTCCTAAGACCTTGGGCCACCTTTACTGGGTAACACATTCAGGAATCCTGAAGCCATTCAAGACTCATTTTCCGTTTGATTCCCTTTCTGTGGGAAAAAAAAAGGCATGAATTTTGAATCTAATACACGTTAGTCCAAATCTGGGCTAAAATACTTACTGTCCATGTGAACTTAAACTCCTTTCTTGACTTCTTGGAAAGCCCATCCCCAAAACAGGAATGTTTGAGTCAACTTCCAGGATTTGTGATTATGCTGAATGTGAATGGCATGTAAAAGCAGCCTTCAAAGTGCCTACTGGTAGTGGACGCCCAGTGAATATTAAGCTTCCCTTCCTCGTATTCAACCCTGAGGCATGGGACGAGTTGCTAGTAGAAAGAATCAACTCCTGTCTGCCAGTCTGCCCTCCAGACATTGCTGCTCACCTGGTTTCTGTCTTCTCCAGGTTACTTTATGTCTTACTTATTTTTCTCATTTCTGGGACAAAATACTTGACACCCAAAATTAAAGGAGAAAAATCCCCACCTGCAACTGCATGAGGTTTTGGGGGACACATGGAGACACAAACCATAACTCCTTACACAGGACACCTATGGAAATCACTGGCTCTCCCAGGCAGGCAGGGTGGCAATAAATGTCAGCCTGTCTAGCACCACATGTGCCCCTCGTGGACTTGATCTCTAACTATAGCAACAGCTCCCACCAAGTACTTATGAGCAAAACTTTTGTGTGCAAAGGAAACCACTATTAGTTAAAAGGCTGGTGAAGTGCAGGTAGAGCTGGGTGCAGCCTGGCCCTGGCTGTGGTTGTCAAATCTGGATTCCAAGGCACACTTCAGATTTGGTGAGCCTGAATTTCTGTGAGCAGGACTCCAGAGTCTTCCTCTGAAGTCAGTTCTAATCTGTGAAGGACCGCAGGCACAAATGACCACAGAACATCAGAGAGATTGGCCACGTTGTTTGAATTTAGTGTGTATGCAAGCGTCTTCATCCTAAGCGGTGACCACCGACTGCCCCCTGGATATCTAACCACTCTCTAGCAAATGAATGCTAGCAAACTGCTAAGACTGCATTAGTCAGGAGCCTTCGAAATAGCCAATGGTGTGAGGAAAAGATAATTCAGATTTCCAGTATATAATAAGTTTAGGGTAGCAAAAATGTTCATGAAACTTTGCTCATAGAAGTTTGTTTTTAGTATATTATGCCTTAATTAATATTCTGCAGGCAAAACATACTGTCAGCTTATTTATTTCTCTCCATATTAATAATCATGCCCTATTTTCTAAATTGCACAAGTGATTCTGCTAAATGGCTTTTCTCTAGATGAGCTAGGTTGAATGTGGTCCTGTGGAATTAATGCCCAGTAGCACTGACCAGAGGGTGATGTCAAGGACTACTCTAAAAGATTAGACGCTCCCCTAGGACCTGCTATGAGAACTCAGTCCCATAAAGTCATGGAAAGGTCGTAAATCTAGTAGGTTTGGTTTAGTCTGCAGAGGGGTGAAGAAGGGCTGAAGCCCTGAGAGTGCCACCAGCTCATTAGTGCTTTGTGTAGCACAGACTTCGGGCAGATTGAAAGCTGACCGAGTGTCAGCAGCACCAGGCTCAGCGGGACCAGCTTCCTGCCTTGACTAGCTATTGCCTGCAAGAGCAGACGGAGGGCCTGGATTCCAGCCCAATTCCAGGCTCATTCTTACTGACCTGCCCTCCCTTGATTGGCTTAACTCTTTACAAGGTGTACATTTCTCTAATCATGGACTGCTTGTCTAGGTCTCTCTCACCCCCAGCCCAGCCCACAGCAGCTAGCACTGACCCTTACTCACAGCTAGTGCCCAGCATACCTTTATCTGATTTCTAGTCCTCTCCACACTGTACAGGCTATTTTGTAAACCAACCATGATTACATTTGCTTACAGATGAGACCACAAACACCTATCAAAAGTCATCTGTTCCAGGGACAACTGCACAGCCAGTCACCCTGATGCCCATGTTGTCTAACCTGGAAGCTGAGGCCGCCCACACCACCTCACAAAAATCATCGCTACTGACACCCTCTGCCACTGGCAGTCCCAGACCACAGCCCGTGGGCCACAGGAGCCGGGAGCTGGGTGAGTCGCAGTATGTGTGCTATAGGAGTGGGACACGGGGACTGGAAACTAGCACTGTGAGTAAACGTGAGCCTGCGGTGCCCTGCTCCACCTGTTGAGCCAGCTGATGGGGGGCCTCTGAGATTTGGGTGGCTGGGCCGTGTCCTTCCAAACCCTAAAGGAGACAGCCACGACTGCGTGGCTCTGCATTTTCAGAGACCCGGTACCGTGTCAAACTTTCCCATTGCAAAGTCTCCATTTCTCCCAAGGCTCAGTTGAAAGGGCGGTAGGGTTCCCTGACACCATTGTTGGATTGGCAGGGTTATTTAAGAGATAAGTGGTATATAATTGGAGATCTCCCAATATTAGAAACACCACCAAAAGAATCCCTTCAAGAAAACTCAGATGACTGAAATTTTTATTCCTTTCCTGATTGCTTTTTTTTGTACCAGGGATCAAACTCATGACCTTGAGCTTGCCAGGCAGGCGCTTGTGCCACTGAGCTAAATCCCTGGCCCTCCTGATTGCTTTTTGTCTGACCACTTTTATTTATTTCATAAAATGGGCTCAATCCAAGTCTAGTCTATGAAATTTAATCTCTGTACTACATTATCTGATAATCCAATCTTGAATTTCTATCCAGACTTCAATCTACACTAGCCAGGGCCAATCAGCACCCACCTCATTGCAGAGACCTTCTGGCAGGGGGGAGATGGGAAATTCCAAAGTCAAAATGCCACTATTGTCAGAAAGTTGTTTTCTGAATCTTTATTTCCTTTTTCATCTTGGAGGAGACTCCTAGGACTTATTTTCTGCCTTACCTCTAGCTTCCAATCTCTCCGTCCACAGGGCACAGCCCTTTTGCCTTCCTCCGCAGCCCAGCCCTCTGCCCCTCCATCTTTTTATTTAATACAGGGGAATGAGGACTTTCAAAGTGCCGGACACTTTTCTAAACAACTTAATAAATATTAGCTTATTGGGTCCTTTGTAACAACTCTGTCAAGTAAATATATTACCTCTAATTTGAATAACCCATTATATTGACAGGAAAACCAAGGAATAAGGTAGGAAGGAAGGAGAAAACTCTCCCTGGCTCACACTCCAGGGGGAGCCAGAATTCAAGCTCCAGCTTGGGCTGCTGGATCTGCTGAAGCCACCTCTCCCTCCCCTCTCAGGAGGGAGCCACCTCTGCCATCAACAAACTCTCCAGGCCCCTGCAGACATAATGGGCTGGCAAGATTAGAAGCTGCAGGTCAACTCACATTCTCCTGTAATTAATAATAAATGATGCCAGGGGTGATTCCTATGATCCCTGCACTCTGGGAAGCTGAGGCAGGAGGATTGCAAGTTTAAGCCAAGCTGGGGCAACTTAGTACCTTCATAAGACCCATCTCAAAATAGTAATAACAATAAAATAAAAAGGGCTTGGAGATGTACCTCACTGCAGAGACCTAGAGTTAATGTCCAGTACCACAAAATAGTAATATAATAGCGGCGTAAGAGCCTGTCTGGCAAACACAAGGTCATGAGTTCAATCCCTGGTTACCAAGTAATAATAATAATAAAAGTATCGGAATTATACAGGCCAGGCACACTTCATTAATTACTTTAACTTTCTCAGCAAGTCGAGGAAATACAGGCATACTTTGGTACTCAACTGCTTTGCATTCTGATGTAAAAATTTTGTCCCTGTGTCCATCCTTTGTTTGATGCCTGACATGCAAGCTAGAACTTGTCAGTGTCCACTGCCTCGTGACTGACCACCCTTCCCACCTACACAATTCCTGGTCCCCATCGTCTTTGGTACACATTGAGCTTCCCAGAACCCATTAATGAGGATCATGATACCGCTGCAGAAATTAGTATTATTCTATTTTACAGATGACACGTGGAAAAAAGCTGTGATTTAAAGTTTCCAAATCAGAATGCCATAAAAATGTTTTTTGAGGCTTTGAAATACATCAAACACTTCTCTCTCCAACTACCCTGTTCTTTTACTTTAACCTTAAGGTTAAAATAAAACCTCAAGGCACACACCATGGACAGCAAAAGGGAAAGGGCTAGAAAGGTTGCTGATAGCCAAGGCTAATGGGTCCCAGAGCCAGAAGTTCCCTTTTTCACGTTTCAGGCTCTTGATGTTAGATTCCTCCATTCTTTCAAACACATGTGAGCACCTGAGCAAGTTGTTGTTGGTCTTGTTGGTGCCTCTGAGACTCAGATCTGCGTAAGACTTGTAATGGAATATGTGGACTATACACTCAGCTACACTGGAAGTGTGGAAATCCTGTTGCTCATTGAGCTGTGCTTGTGGAAAAGCTCAAAGTAGTGGCCCCAACCTGGCAAAGCTTCATCGCTCCTGGCTTGGGGACAGGGGCTTTGGGCCACAGCCTCCAGGACCTTCAGTGTTCCTTCCTCCTCCTGCCCCAGCCCACTTCCACGCTGACCCTCGTGCGGTGTGGTCAGGCTGCAAAAGACAGGAGTCCACGGGGCCAGCGGCTGGGGGCAGGGGGCTAAAATTTGTAGTGTCCACTCAAATTGTGGCAGAAGAAAGTTTCATTCAGATACTTCTCATATCCTGTACAATTCACTAAAGTGTGTAACCCAAAGGTTTTTAGTATATTCATAGTTATGAGAACATCACCACAATCAATTCTGGGACATTTTATCACCTGCAAAGAAACCCCATACCGATGAAGAGTCACTCACCATCTCCCCAAACCTTAGGGAACCACAAATGACCACTTACTGAGTGCCTCTCTTAATGCGTGGCTATCCTGGTTGTGTTATTTTGATCTAACTATATTAAGTAATATTTAGTATTTAGGAACTCCTTTTCTTCAAACAAACTGAAAATATTCTGCCATTAATAAGAGAGCAACTCTCTATCCTGCTGGTAGACACGCGCATTGCTGTTATTGTGTGGATTAAGAAGAGGGTTTTTCCTCTGTGTATGTGGCAATTGGTGATCAGAAGTTTCTAGAAGTGGTTTTAGTTGGGGTGTTCAGGCAAATCCTAGTTCCCCTACCCATTTGAGAAGCACCCATGAAACGCCCAGTGCAGGTCGAGCAGTGTGCTGGGTCTTGGGCTCATCAGTGGACCCCTCCCTCCGAGCTGTCGCAGAGGGTCACTTAGGTAGAGCACCCGGAGAGGTGGAGCTGCCTGTCTTCACGGTGAGTCACCTGCGCCCTACCAGGAAGTCAAAAACTGCCTCTCAGACAGGACATTTGGAAGGAAGCAACACAGAAAACAAGTTTGAAAGCTGAGAGAGACAGGGTCTTTCCCAGCCTTCACAGGGAAACAGAGGCAGCTGGTCGTGACTATGCAAACTAAACAAGACCAGAACAGGCGAGGCCTGGCGTAAAGATCCCAACCCGGAGGGCACGGAAGGCTTCTCGAGGGCCAGGGGTAAGGCTGCTCTTCATGGCAGAGGCCAGGGTGACAGCGATCTCTAGGACCAAGGTGCCTCAGGGATGCATTCTGGATCCAGAAGGAGCAGCCTAGACACGCAGGCTTTACAGCTGGGCCTAGGAAGGAGTCCTGAGAAAAGCAGAAAATGGGTTAGCTGAATATAGCCACACCCGGCTTGGTTTCTCAACACAGGTTCATGCGGAGAAGCACCTCTGGTGCTGCAGCAGATCCCACATTGAATGTGCACCACACACAGTTGGGAGACAGGAAGGAAGAGCGCCACCTCGTGGCGTGGGAAGGCACTGCATAACCATGGACTTCACCTGTGGGTGACCAAGGGCTCCTAAGGGAGAAGAAACCATGAGACTTGGGACGAGAAGAGACCAATGTCTGCCACTGCCCATCCCTTCCGCATGCTGGGTCCCGTCTCTATGCCTGACACCTGTGGAAGTGCATCTCTTTTTCTGGTGTCTGCAGAAAGGTTTTCTTAAAATCCAGTCCCACGTGGAGTAAGAAGAAGACAAGCCTTCCAAATGAAACATAGGGAAAGTCACAGCCGGGCAGGCTGCCGTGGGACCACAAATGGTAATAAATATATTGTTTGCAAGATGTTGAATATCCCCAGGCATCCAATAAGTGCAAATTAAACAACAAAATTTCATTTCCTCCCGATTTATACTACAAAGCGATAATATAATTTGGGCAAGAGTCTGGTGAGTTGACCTACAATTCTCACATTCAAAAATATGTTCTAAGGTAATTATTAGCCCCTGGACATAGATGTTGTTCCTACAGAAAAATAAATGGAGATGCTTTTTTTGTCTGTGGGTAGAAGGATAGTTAAGTGACTGTGGGACTGTGAAGTTGCTGAGCTGGCTGTGTGCTTAGCCACATGACAGGATGGCCCAGGGCTCTCTGTCCAGTCAAAGCAGTGGCCTGCAAGGCGGGACCCAAACATGGTAAAGGCTTAAATTTTAAAAAATTTGTTACAGCAAAACACGCATTACCATTAATCCCCCTCAAAACGCTATTGCCCTGGCTGTCTTAAAGTTGTGAATCAGTGCAAAACATTTACCTTTCATGGTCATTTTGATTTGGGAAAGATCTAGAAATTCCAGAGTACCAGATCCCACGAATATGGTGATTGAAGACATGTAGAAATATTTTCACCAGCCTGCCTTCCTGTTGGCTGGTTCTGCATGAGTTTTTTGTTTTTTGTTTTTTGGCCTCTAATTCCTGATGATCCTCCTGCCTCAGCCTCCCAAATGCTGGGATTACAGGTGTGTACTACCTACCGTGCCTGGCTAGTCACTGCATTTTTTATCACATCTTGTAAAGATATCATGTGCTATACATGGAAATGTGCACGGGAAGAGAGATGCAACTCTACATACCAACACTGGGTAGAGGATAAAAGGTGCTTCCCTCCTATGCAGAGTATATCACTTTTTATGGTGAGCCTCGATTATCTTTCTAATTAAAAAATAAAACCACTCTGAGATTATGTCAAATAATTGGCACAAAACAAAAGGACTCGAAACTAACTCCAGACAGATCCTGCTCCAAGAGAAACTGATATTTTTCCGTGACTTTTACCTCCTCCCTTCTCTGAA